TTATTGAATCTGTGGTTCCCACGTGCGAGCTTTCCATAATATTGAGTTAACTCTATGAGTAATACTTTAAGCTCGCATGACTTAGCCTCCTGCTTCAATGTTCACTTGGTTTTCGAGATTGACAAAGTCGTACAAGTTTAATCGCAGTTTCATTTATTTAGGAACAACAGTCTTTTGTATCACTTGTTGAAGGTCACAATTATTAAGAACATTATACTACTTATTGAAGGTTACAATTATTAAGAACATCTGTTCCCTTGGGGTTCACTCGCGGAAGATGATCCATAATAGCGCGAAGACGAGACCCTCACTAGTTGATGTATTTGATGCACATTTTCGCCTTGATAGCACCTAGTTCTCTATTCCGGGCAAGGCAACAGCCGTAGGTCAACCTCAAAGGGGACTTTTGTGCCTCAAATCTAATTGAATTTCTCGAACCTAATATCTTTTCCTTATGCGATACTTCAACCAGTTGCACTTCCAGTACATACAAAACCTATTAACTAGCGTTCAGGGAATCTGCTAATATTGCCGCTATTAATTGCCCCAAAATCACCTACAGTTGCCTGTCCTTAACCTAATGTGGTTCTTCTCAGTGACGCTTCTGGTTCACCAGGATTTGCCGTTGCTTCTTCACATGCAGGAGCAAGTGATGGTCTTTTCATAAGTTACATTACTCCGAATGGACCAGCAGGTTGTCAAGGAAAGCTCTGTGTGAGTTGTTTCTTTGATCTGGTCTTCCTTGAACTTTTTGAATTTGCTCTTACAAAAAGTGCAATGTAACTCATTTCAGTCACTGTAGCATTGGAAAAGGTGGTCATTCAAATTGTAACATTTATTGTTCAAATTGTAACATTTATTTCTTTATCCCTTATCTTATGAGTGATCCTTCTAGGTAGTGTGCGTTTGATACCCATAGCTCGCGAGAGATGAGTGCAGAGTGATTGAGCGTAGCACGCGCTAGCTCTAGATGAACATTGTTGGCCCAAAGAAAAGGACGGACCGTAATGCTACTACCATTCTACCTCTTT